GCGATAGTCGAAGTTCGCGTTGCGATTTATTCCAAGTTCGTTGCGATAGTCGAAGTTCGCGTTGCGATTTATTCCAAATTCGTTGCGATAGTCCAAAATCGCAACGAATGGTGGTATTGCATTTGTTTCTTAAGAATTTTCTCTAAAAATATAGTATTCGCGCGGACGTGTCGTAGACACGTATTATCACGACCACGACCACGACCCGAGACGAGACTAGACGGCGGCGGCGCGCAAGAGTCCCCTTGTTATCTATCACTAAACAAGGAAATGAGAAAGCCAAGCCTTAAATACCATTCCGAATAGTGTTTCCAATACTATGTGAGATTGAGCATTACCAACACTTGTTCCCAATACTATGTGGGATTGAGCCTTAAATAGTGATATTATTTTTGAATGTTTTGCTTAAAATTACAATAATCGCGATTGATTGTAGATTGACTTTTAATTATGACATATTTAATCGTATAATACTAATGCAATTGGTTGCTAATTCAGTTGTTTTAAGGTGCATGATTGTTAATTGTTTCCTGAATAATCACATTGTATTGGAAACAAGTGTTGGTAATGATCAATCCCACATAGTATTGGAAACACAATTGGGAATGATATTTAAGGCTTGGCTTTCCCACTTCCTTGTTGAGTGATAGAGAATAAGGGAGACTCTCGCGCGGCGCCGCCGCCGCCGTCCGTCTTGTCTCGTCTCAGGTCGTGGTCGTGGTCGTGGTAATGGTAATGGTAATGGTAGTACGTGTCTTCGACACGTTCGCGCGAATACTATCTTTTTAGAGAAAATTCTTAAGAAACAAATGCAATACCACCAGTCGTTGCGAACTTCGACTATCGCAACGAATTTGGAATAAATCGCAACGCGAACTTCGACTATCGCAACGAATTTGGAAAATCGTCGAATATCGCAACGAATTTGGAAAATCGCAACGCGAACTTGGACTATCGCAACGAATTTGGAAAATCGCAACGCGAACTTGGACTATCGCAATGCGAATATGTAAATCGCAATGCGATAGTCGAAGTTCGCGTTGCGAATCTGGAAACTGATTTGCGATACCGGAGATCGCGTTGCGAATTATCGATCGCATTGCGATTTAGTTGGTCATTTTGGCAAATCCAAAAAATTTGGTTAAAATCGTATATTATAAGGCATTTTTGGTCACTGAGATTATTTTCTCTATATACACACCGTTACTATTGTATATAGGGATGAATCTATAAAGAAGAAAGAGCTTAAAGTATTGTAGAAAGAATAATAACAAAGATAATCACCATAATTACATGAAAACTTGGGGATACACCGTAAAAAGTACTTCATATCCCTAAATAAACCCCACCAACTCATTTCACTATTTTAAGTGCAAGATTTTCCTTATTTTGCCTGGTAAAATATTTACGTATATATTAATAAACAAAATTAATGTCCCTTGTTCCCATATGTAATGGGTAAGGGAAGGTAAGATAGTAGGCTGCCCCCAACACTAGGTTGAGAGTAACTTCCGTGAGAGACTTCCAAATTATGAAGTGTCCTCCATAAGACTCTATCCCACGACCTCAAGGTTAAGAACCTTGTGCTCTACCAACTGAGCTAGATGGTCATTTCTACGTATATATTAATAGTTAGTCAAATATATTTATACGAGAATTTATTAAGTGATTTTAGTGATTAAAAGGAATGTTGTTATCTCTTAGAGTTTCAGGTTTGAGCAGTTGTGTCTGCAGAGTATGTGCATTGTCAATGACTAAAAAAATTATAAACAAATATTATCTTGTAATATCTTAAATTATTAAAAAATATTAATATAAATAATTCAAAATAAAAATGATTAATTATATCGACATTATCTATTCTAAGCAATTATCAATAGAACCAATTGATGATAGACGAAGAAATAAAACTTAATATAATGCCACAAGCAATACAAAATTTAATTGTTTTGAAATAGCATAACTAGAAAACTATTTACCTTCCCAAAAAATATATTAATATGTGTAAAACATTTATATTAAATATATATTTTGAAAATTTATTTAATAACGAAACACCTCTCTCAAATGTAAATGGACAGATCCAGTGTTGGGTTAACGAAACAAAAGTGGATCTGAGTAGTTGCACTTAGCAGATCAAACACCTCTCTCAAATGTAAGCTCACTACGGACAGATCCAGTGTTGGGTTAACAAAGCTGGATGCATCTCCCTCAAATCATTGCCCTCTGTCAGCCTTTCTCCTCAACAAGCGGAATGCCTTTTGTGAAGGCACTCGCCTCAGCAATTTCTTCATCATAAATACTTAATAATTTTCGAGCACGACCCGTAACTATCAGACCATTATTTTAAATAGCGTTGGCTGAAGAGAAAAGTAAAATATATCTTAAATTTACAATGGGCTATTTGTTGGAGCAGTTTTTAGTTTAGGGTTTAATATGAAAATACCTAAAACTTTTGAGAATTATTCCTTAATTTAGCCCCAATTTCAATATTGGATGAACAATATTGATACATCAAGAACGAGTATTGATACTCTTTTCTTAAATTATCCAAATTTCCAATATATTTTCATATGGCATCAATATTGCATGAATGATATTAATACCAAAGTTTAAAAAGTATAATTTTAACCCCAAAAATTCAATTTATATTGTCTCTAAACACTTGGTTTAAGATTCTAAATGATTCTTAAAATTTCTGGCACTAAAAACGCATCATATAGCATCGTTTTAAAACCTTCTAATGTAAAATATAATTCAAATTATCATGCTTCCCCCCCCCCCAAACCAAACCAGTAAACATCCATTTGACACGCAAGGGATTACATTTATGACTTTCATGAAATATTTCAGAATTATAGGTGTGATTCCTTAATGCAAAACACCAAAGAAATTTGCTTAATTTCCTCCAATTTCCTCTTTCCCTTATTTTAGAGGGCTTACCAACCTATTTTACTAATCAAACAAGCATGTACACGATTTTCTAACCAACACAATCTAAACTCGTAAAAATACAATGAATGAAGATTGGAACATCCTTCATAATATAAATCCTCTCAACACACCAAAATAGCTTTACACATGAAGGTGATGAGCTTTTCTTGAAACTTTTGGGATGATGGTGATAATTTTTACCTTTTTCAATGTTGAATGTTTATTAAAGCTCAAAAAGATTGGTCCTTTCTGTAGTAAAAGATTTAGATCTTAGTAGAGAATATAAAATAAATGAAAAAGAGAGACATAGAAAAGATGAGCTCATCCTTCAACTATAGTCCCTCTTTTTCCATGTAAAGACAAATAAAATTGAATGGGTTCCAACCCTATTTTTCTTGAATGAGTAAAATATCCCTTAGTTCTTCCTCTTTCATTCTCAATTCAAAGATAACCTTTTATGACCAGATGAACTCAATTCTTATTCAATTAGGTCTATACTTTATTTAAATTAAATATTATGTACTAATTGATCCATCTGTCAATTAGATTAACAGTCACATTTTGATTCAGAAATTCAGGTCGTTATATATTAAATAAGAATTACAATAATCTTAAATTATTGATGAAAGTGACTCTTTCTCACTCAATATGTTAAAATTGAGGTGTCTGACTAAATTCAAATGTAACATTATTTAGATATTGATTTTTTTTAAGTGTTTGAATATAACATTTTAAACATATACGTGTTGAGTGATTGAAAACAAGACACATACAAATGTGTCGTTCTTGTCGTTCAATTTGGCCTAACTCGTATAGTATGCTTTTCTTTTTTTAGACAAAATTTGTATAATTCTTTATATTTTTAATGAACTATTTTTTTTTATTTTGACCCTCATGGATACCATCTTTAAATTTTTTTCCTAAATTCCTACGTACAATTTGAAAAACAATATTAACATGATATGCTTTTATTTTATGTGACACAATTAGATACTATTTTTATAAATATTTTAAAAATATTATTTGATTAAATAATTGAAAATAAGATATTATTTAGGCAAAAGAGCACCCTCATAACCGATTTTTTAAGGTACCAAATAACGGAATGACTTGGTGGGAAATGTGAATGAAGGGAAATGCAGCGAATTAATATTAGAGCGTGGGAGACATTTACTGGCGCCATTTGTATGATATTTTCGTGTGGAGATTTTAGAAGCAGAGGAACAATTTTGTTTTTTAAGGATAAATTTGGTCAGCTCATTAAATCAGCCTGGGTTTGAGCCAAATCAATTAATCATGGCAAAAATGGTGGAACTTGTCTAAGCCGCTATCAATCTATGAGACAAAGATAGGAAGCATCGAAGGATAATTTTACAAAGTTGAACGTTGGTGGTTTGGTTAATCAGGCAACAATGGAAGCAGCTAGTGGGGGCATTTTACGCGATAACAATGGAAGCTGGGTTGCTGGTTACTGTCGTAAAATCAGTCATTGTCCCGTTTTTCATGCTGAATTGTGGGCAGTGTTTGATGATTTGAATATCGCGTGGAGCCATGGTCTCAGAAGGATTATCGTAGAGCTTGATAATAGTGAAGTTGTGAGGAGATTAAACTTACCTGGACAGCCTAATTACGATGCTATAACACGGCAAATCTGTAGCCTGCTTGAGCAGAGGTGGTGCATCAAAGTCATCTATATAAAACGAGAAGCAAATGAGTTAGATGATGCTTTAGCCAAGATTGGAAGGAATGACCCTCCTGGTCTCTTGTGTTTTCAGCAGCCTCCAAGCGAGATACAAACCTTGCTCAGGAGGATAAAGTGTATTCGGACACTGGCATAACCCTGATTTCTTAGTAGTTTTATTTGTAACCCAAAAAAAATAATATTAGATGTGGGAGAAACAAATCCACACTGTACACGCACGCATCGTGCCTCGTCCTATGTCGCGTCCTTTTGCCTGCTAAACGATCCCTCTCACTGCCACTTTCACAAATCTCACCCATTTATTAAACAAAACCCTCCCTTTCCGCATTCCTTTTGTCTTCTTCCTTACAAAAACACTCAAGCTATGAGGATCAGAAACAGTCAGAATCACCCTCAACGCTCCCTTTCACCTCCACAACCGCCATCCTCTCCTCCGCCTTCCAACCCACCGTCTGATCAACAGCAGCCGCAGCATGTCATGGTCAGTAGAATCAACGCTCGACTTTCCTCCATTGACAATGGCTCTGATTCCAAAGATACCATTGATAGTTGCTCCATGTCAACTAATGAGAGGTAATAACAAAAAAAAAGTTTAATAATCCCATCTTTTTAGGTTCTTCTCGGCCATATGAATCGTTAGGATGAGATTGTTTTTGGCGTGTTTCTACAGTCTTGGGCATACCATTTTTGTGCAGAGATCAACTTCAAGCAACTCCGTTTCGTCTTTCCTATCCTTCAATGGTATGTTTGTTTTATGTAAAAATTCGAACTTTTAAATGAAAATAATATACTTTTTTTTTCTGCAAATGGGGGTTTCATTTGGCGTGAATATTAGGGCAGTGGTGCGAGGAAGAAAATACAAAATCATTGAAGAAAAGGAGAGTAGTGACGGATGCATTAATGGAGGAGAGGAATCAAAGCCAGAGGTGCAATAGGGAGAACGGGAAAGGATGGAGGTGTAACAAAATGAGGGTGAAAGGTCGTAGCTTGTTCAATCACCATTTGGAGATGCAAAGGATGAGAAATACCCGCTGCCCCATCACCGGAAATGAAGAAGAAGAAGAGGAAGGAGGGACGACGCCATTTGCTGTTAGTGGAAACCAGATGAGGGAAAACAAGAGGGTTAAGGTGGTGAAGAAGGCTCGTTGCATTAGTAGCTTGCTTAGAGACACTGTTCCATTGTCTTAGCAGTGATGTAGCTTAGCTCTAACAGCAAACTAGTAGGGAAGAAAATGGTGTATAGAGTGACAGAAATAGCAAGTTTTCTTCTTCTTATTGCTTTTAACAGATGGAAATGATGTATATGTTTGACAGAAAACAGCAATGAGAGAGACATGCTTGTTATTTCTTCTATAGCTCTTTTAGTTTACATATATATATATATATATATATATATATATATATATATATATATATATATCGTTTGATAAGTGAAAATAGATGTCTAAGATTGATTCCTTGTTTTTTCCCCAATGAATATATTCTCATTTCCTAATTTTAATCTTAGTCATCTATTTTCACTCATCCAACGTACCAAAATCTGTGTAAAACTAAAAGAGTTTTATATTATGTAACAGGATCTTATCCGTGTAAGGGTTACAATCCACTTACACAATGTAAAACTCTTTAGTTTTACACAAATTTAACATTGTAGGATGTGTGAAAATATATGAGTGGGATTGACTCTTTATTTTTTTTGTCCAGTGAATATATTCTTATTTCCTATGTTAATCTCGACCATCTATTTTCAGTCATCCAAAGGTCCTAAATTTTTATAAAACTAAAATAGTTTTACATTGTGTAATAAGATACTATCCCATAAAAAAAAAGAAACGATTATTCAAAATTGATATAATTTCAATTAAAATTTTATGGTACACGGTTGATTAAAGTATATATTATGGACTATGAATTCAATTATATAAAATTAAATTCATAATAAAATAAAGCAAATAAAAATTGATGTATCGAAACACACAATAAGTGAATTTGTCCTTATTATATAAATATTAAAAATATAAGGATTTATTTAAAACTAATCAATTATTAAAATTTAATTATAATTTTAATAGAATTCTAATTAAATTATAAATTTTTAGGGTAAACTACATGTTTAGTACTTAAACTATCACGTTTGTTCTGATTTAGTACCTCAACTTTCATTTTTTTTAAAACTATACCTAACATTTATTTGTTTTTTCATTTTAGTAATCCACCGTTAAAAAATTAACGACACAAGCTGGTGTGGTTGATTTTATTTTGGTAAATTATACAATTCATCACTCAACTATCTTCTCACTTTTATTTTGGTCACTAAATTTTAAAACTTTCAATTTAATCACTAAACTTTCAAATTACTTGTATTTTGATCTCTCGTTGATGATGTGAATTATTTTATATTATTTTTAGTATGACATGACAAATTTATTATTATTAATTTCAAATAAAATTTAAAATCAAAATCCTTAATCTTAATCTTAAATCTCCAAACCCCAACATTGATATAAACTCATCCTTAACTTCATGAAACAAAGAATACCTACAAACCCATACTAGCCCTTGTTTTTCCTTTCATTTCCTTCTCTTCTCTCGCATGAGGCAATGCTATGATTGAGTGAAACTACACAAAAAAATAAAAAATAACCTTGTAGTCCATACTTATGTTCATCAAGTTCTTTTTTTTATTCTTTTCATTTTGATTTTATGATTAGGCCCGTGAAAGTAAAAAGGGCGTAATGCTGCTTTTGCTTGGTTGGTGATCTAGTGATTGAATTATCATTATATTGCCTGAAAAATGAGGGAAAGTGCAAGAAAATAAGTATAAGCATAAACCTAGATTTTTTTGTTTTGTTTTTGTTTCATACTCTTTATCTATTCTTTATTTTAGTTTTAATTTTTCTGGAACTGCAACATTTTAATAGAAAATGAGGAAGCATGGATGGCAGCTTCCTTCTCATCCACTTCATGTGTTTTCCCTTTTATTGTTGCTGCTTTTGTTTTTATATAAAAAATTATGAGCTTTTTGTTGTTTCAATTATGGGTATTGAGCAATGTTTACATTTTTCTTAACTTGTCTTTGTGAAGGGATGGTGGTTGATGTATTCTTGATGCTTAAATTTGTTTCTCTGTGTTCATTTGTTTCCAGTTCACAAATGATTTTTCAAGGGATTCTTATGTGGTGGTCGGAGAGTGATGTTGGTGGGGTTGAGGTTTGGATTGATGATTGGGGTTTAGGGATTAAGGGTTGGATTAAAATTATATATATTTTATTTTAAATCTTATTTGATATTACATATTAATTAATTTATCATGTCATACTAAAAAATAATAATATAGTCCACATCATTAGAGATGATTAAATAGAAGCAATTCAAAGTTTAATGATTAAATTCAAAAAATTTAAATTTTAGTGACCAAAATAGTAGTGAGAATATAGTTGAGTGATGAACTATGTAGTTTTCCCGAATAAAAAATAACACGTCAGTTGTGCTATTAAGTTTTTAACGGCGAGTACTAGAATGAAACAAAATGTAAACGTTATGTATATTTTGAAAAAAAATGAAAGTTGAAGTACTAAAACGATATAAAGTAATAGTTTAGGTACTAAACGTGTAGTTTACTCATTGTTTTATTAAAAATAATCGGGCGATGGCGAACTGGGCGACGAAAAACGAAAGCGCTGGATGTTGTAGCAGTTGATTTTTTGGCTAGTTACGGTGGTCGCCGATAGTGATTGATACTGATGACCGGTTCTAACTTATATAACTTAAAAATCCTAATTCTAAACAAATTAATTATTATTTTTAACAAAAAATATAATATAATTATAATTCTATTAAAATTATAATTAAATTTTAATAAATGATTAATTTTAAATAAATCCTGATACTTTTTAATATTTACATAATAAAATAAATTTACTTGTGATATGTTTCAATACATTATTTTAGTGTTACATTACGATATGTGACGTGCGTCGTAGACTTATTTGTTATTCTTGTCTATATTTTTTTTATTAAATTATCTTTTTCAAACGAAATGTCAACTCCTTCTCATAAGGCTATCTAATAATGGAACCTAACTTACATGTAGGGCATGTGACTTCAATAGCAAAGGGTAGTTATGCATTTTTATTTATGTTATACTTTTTTCAGATTTCTCCAAAATTATATTTTCATTTATATTTCTTCGTCTTGTTTTCATCTGTTGAATATTAAATTTTTAAAATTCTTCGAAGCTTTCATAATTTTATATTTATGAGTAATTAACATACTCTCAATATGACCTCGGACAAATTTATATAATATGTCAGAGTCAAATGTACTAACAACAATTAAATTTATTTAACTTGTCAACCTATAAATAGTTGAATATTAAATTTTTAAAATTCTTCGAAGCTTTCATAATTTTATATTTATGAGTAATTAACATACTCTCAATATGACCTCGGACAAATTTATATAATATGTCAGAGTCAAATGTACTAACAACAATTAAATTTATTTAACTTGTCAACCTATAAATAATTATCATCATCTTAGATCTAACACCAATATTAAAGGTCAATATATATATGACTGTATAATATTCAAAAAAGTTTTTTCTTTCTTTTTGGGGATCCCTCTCCTTGTTGCATGTCTAACCACTCTACTATTCATCATCTTCGTTAGTTTATACAGTTATGTACTGTAATTCTATGTCCAAATTTAAAACGAATCACCTATAACGGTTGTAACCCAAAATTAATCCATCAATATTTTTTAAATAAATAATCTGCCTGTGATTTACTTTTTATTGAAAAAAAACGCAAATGATAAATGATTTTTTTCTTTCCATTTTATGGTTAAGGGAAAAATGCATTTATAACTTAATTAACCCATTCATTTTTATTTGCAAATAATCTTTTAAACATGTTGAAATAAATGGTAACCAAGAGTAAATTTCATAAAATAATTTCTAATTTGATAAATCTTTGCTGATACATTATATCATGAATTTTAATTACCGATTTATTTTAGAAAAGGAAACAAACATCGTTTGATTAATATTTTTCATATTCTTCTTCCCGTTATATTTATTGTGAGTGATGTTTATTTGGAAAGAGGATGAGATCCAAAAATAATCCTGAGATTTTTTTTTTCTGACTAACTGAGATTTGTGTATTATAACTAATAAATGTTTAGATATTAGTTTCCAATCATATTAATGACAATGACAGTTAAATCAATTATAATATGAACTATAAACAGAATATATTATTTAATAATATTAATGTAACACCCTCATACCGATATAGGTGATCCGATCCGATATGAAGTGTCACATTAGGGTCACCGGAACAATCAAGATTGAAAATCCTGAAAAATTTAATTTTTTTAATCCATTTAAAATTGTAAAATAATTTATAGATAAAATACAAGTTCAGAAAATCATTTATATATTAAAAATAGAATTCAACATTATCCAGTAATAAAACAAGTTTCAGACTCGAATATAAAAATAGAATACAACATTCATGCCCCTTAATTATATGCACCGTACTCCGCAAGCAATATCGATGAAACTCCTTTACTGATATCGATAAAAGCACATGATCAAACTCTTTAACCTGAAATGGTAATTAACATAGTGAACTTTGGAAAGCTCAATAATACATAACTATCAGATGAATGCAATAGGTTATCGGATATATGGTAAAGCATAACTTTCCTTAGATGGAAAGACATCAACATATTCTAGCGGTGAATTCATATTCTATTAGCTAAGTCTTCAGTTACAAACAAGAATTTACCGGTCTGAAGGAAGTATTCAGAGAGACAAATTCAGAAGATTGGATTTGGGAGTCTAGTGTGTTCCAACAAAACTGAGAAATGTGTACATGTCCTTTAAAAACATTTGTAGTTTAAACATATTTTCAAACCATAGTAATACCCTCCAATCGAACACTGATATGCAGTTCCCAAGGGGTGTTCATTTTTCGGTTTAACTGAATTAACCGACCGAACGAATTAGTTCGGTTAATTCGGTCGGCCACCGAATTAGTTCGGCTGGGGAATGATTAATAATTCTTTTAGAATTCAATTAACAGTTAATTCGGTTCGAAATCGGTTAATTAACCAAATTAACCAAAATTAAATTTTAAATATATTATGTATAACATATGGTAATTAATAATTTAGGATCCAATA